TCCTTGCTCCAAGATAATGGGATAGACAACTCTTGTGTATTTGCACCTATCTGATGGGATAGGAAACTCTTGTGTACTTGCGCCATCGTCACGGGTAGACAACTCTTGTGTAGTTGCACCTATGTGATGGGGCAATCAATTTATTTGACCATGCAACACCACTGTATATTGTCATCTTTTTTGCTCAAAATTGTTGTGTATAGGAAACTTTCTATAGTATAACTCCTTAATTTGTTTGCTCTCCTATCTTAGTTTACTTCCCCTTTCTATGTGTACATAGCTGTGAGTACTCCTGGTATTTTTATTTGATGTAATTTTTTTTTTAGCCAGTTATCCTTTTGATAAACTTTTCATTAAAAAATCTAGTTTTGAAATTGTGTGTAAATTACAATGAATTTTGTGTGTATAGTACAGTCTGATTTGAATAGTGTTTAAAATAGTAGGCTTAAAATCAATGTTTCATGTGTTTAAAATAGTAGGCTTAAAATCAATTTTTCATGTGTTTAAAATAGTAGGCTTAAAATCAATTTTCATGTGTTTAAAATAGTAGGCTTAAAATCAATTTTTCATGTGTTTAAAATAGTAGGCTTAAAATCAATTTTCATGTGTTTAAAATAGTAGGCTTAAAATCAATTTTTCATGTGTTTAAAATAGTAGGCCTGCTATCACTATAGAATGTGTGTGAACAGGAGCAAACAACTTAAAATTCTTGTTTTAAAAACATAAATAGTAAAGCAAATGATCTAGCAGTTTTCAAGCATTTATACTTAGTTGAAGATACCACTTGTTACTTTTTGTTATTATAATTCTGTCCTATTGTCATATACTTCTGGTATTGAGTCTTCGTTCACATAGTAGCCAATCTTCTTCATGATTGAAAGTGCAACTCCTGGTCAGGACTTCAGATGTATGTTAAATGTGCCAGGGATGTTATGCTACACAGACTACTCACTTATATCAATTATCATAGTTACAAATAATTCTAATATTTCTAGCCATTGGCAGTAGGAGCCAGAAGAACAAAATTATCCCAGTGAGTTTATTTGAAGTTATTTCTTGATTGAGGGCGGCATGACCTTGACCACTACCGACCTCTGTAGCACCTAGCACTACAAGGGTTGCACAACCTGACTGCTGCCGACCTATTTAGCACTCAGAAGTAGTAAAATATTGAGATATAAAATTCAACCGACTTATCACATATTTTCAATTGATTCTTTCATTTGGCACAGTGCCGAGGTAGCATTGCCTAGTTTTTATTGTAGGGCTAAAAAAAAATTTTTCACAATGCTTGTGAGCTTTTCGTATGAAGCTTGAAATGAAATCATTTTTACCAATGAATAATTTTTAAAAATTGGATTTATTTATTTTGAGTGGAGATAAGAAGCTGGATAGTATCTCAACATTTCCTATTGAGTATCTTTTGGGATTTGGATTTGTCATGTCAAGGCTTTAAAGATTTAGCCTCATTAAAGTTAAAGCAAAATATTCCTGAACTGTAAAGTGTAAATAAATATTTATGAATAAGTGGTCGCTTTTTTTAAAAACTTCTGTTTTAAGACAGTCAAAAACATCTAGGCTAATAAATAGGATTTTTTAAAAAGTAAAGTTGTTGCCCTTCCTGTCAAACTGAAAAAAATTACCACTGCTTTTATACTATATGATGTTAATTTTCTTTACAAAACATTGTAAAAACTAATACTGAATAGCTGTACGCAAGATCTTGATAATCAATTTAAAAAATAACTAAGCCTCCTTCTGTAGCTTGTTGCTGTATATGTTCAATTTTTGCATTTGTCGTTTGAACAATTATATTTTTGTCATTGTACAATTCTTGTTATATTTCATTCAGAATTAAAGACAAAAAAATTCTTTTTTCCCTCATGAACTTCTTGGTCAACAGTGTAAGAATGTAATCTCTTGTCTTGAACGACTTGGTCAATACAAACAAATCGACAGTGCAAGAATGCCATGTCTTGAACAACTTAGTCAATATGTATGAATCAACTGGTACTAAAATGTTAACAGTGTAAGAAATTTAATTCAACCAAAAGTCCAACAATACATGTTGAAAGAAACATCCGCAAAATGTTTTATTCTAGTTCTAATGTAGGATTTAACAAAAACTGAGAGAAAAAAATGTGTTTTACCATCATTCTAATGTAAAGACCACTCCAATTTGGTATATTTTCATCAAGTCTCACAGTTAGCAATGTAATTTATTGAACTTGTCAGTGTATGTCAGTTCAAGGTTCATGACACATCAATAATATCAGGCTGGAAGGTTTGAAAACCAACATTAAATTTTAAAAAATTTAATCAATAATAACTAGGAGATATCACCCGGTTTCACGGCGGTAAAAATCGAAGGCATACTGTGCTACTATTGTGAAATTTGAACTTTTAAAATAACAATTTTTACGCGCATAACTTAATTGGGTTCAATGTATTGCATACTCAAAAAAGAAAAAGGACTACATTCAATGCCCTTGAAATGTATATTTAGGCAATTGAAAATAGAAAAGTCAGACTTTTCTAATATTTTACACAAGTATTATATGCACAGATATTTTGTTCCTAATATGATTGGGTTTTGAGAATATTTTTCCATCTATATTATGTAGGATTGCTCAACCCTTTTCACACCCCTGAATTACAAAGGAAAAAATCTTCTAGAACTTTTAAAAACATGTCCTTAACTTTAAAAAAATTTAAGTACCCTTTTAAATACACGGTATCTCTAACATTAACAGATTTTGATATATTGGTATCTCCATTACAAATTAATCCTTACTCTTCCTTTATCAGAATTTTTTTTTTTTACATTTAAGTAGGACTATTCAAAATCTCTTACAAATTAATCATGCCCCAAAAATTTATTTTGCATAAAATGGAAAAAAAAAGGTTTCCTTACATTTAAAGATCTTTTCCCATATTTGTTCATGCCCTTGAATTTAATTTTCGTGAAATGAAAAAAATAGATATTAAATCCTTTATACTTATATTTACTTTGATTTTGTTCATGGCTGGCTGGCAAAATCTTTGGACGACTAATAGCCCCACTTCCCATCAGCCTATCTAGCTTAAACTTGCCACATAGACTTGTTGCCGATGACAACACATTCTTTCAACCACCAAAAATCAGTATTTCCTGTTTTTCAAGGGGAAGATGAAGGAACTATGATGATACTGATTTCACAAGAAAAAAAAATCCTGATTAACTGCGCTAAGTGAGATTCCTTTTTTTAAAATATCGCAAGTGTATTTGGTGTATTTTATTTTGTTTTTCTTTTCTGAAATATTTGGGGTAATGAATCTGCGGATTTAGTGTTGTATGTAACAGAACCATATAAAAATTTTTAGAATAATCAAATGATTGAGCATTTCAAGAAGAGCTAAGATATTAAGAAATCCCACACAATGTTTATGAATTTAAACACATTTATTGCACAGGCGTCACATTAATTTTAAAATCTAAGTAATTCATAATGGAAATACAATGGAAATGTAAAATAAGAAATCTATTCATACAATATGAAGAGTTTAAATAATGGATAGCAAGATAAAAATTTAACAAACTGCCAGTATTCCTCAATTTTAAAAGTCCACACCTAAAACCCATTAGCAGCTGCAGTACTCATAATCTCTATATACATGGCTGGGAGAGGCAAAGTCAATCTCCTGCCATTGACTGCAAGTCCTGCAGTGAAAATAGTTGCAAAAACACAGGATATGAAGATAGTTACATACAACACAGGTCCATCTCATGATATGAAGATAGTTACATACAGCACAGGTCCACCTCATGACATGAAGATAGTTACATGCAACACAGGTCTATTTTAAAACATGAAGATATTTACAGATAATACAGATATATCTCATGACATTACGATAGTTACAGGCACAGGTCTATCTCAAAAAATGAAAATAGTTACAGACAACACAGCTAACATTTCACCAACAGATCTACACACCCAACAACAGATGTATTTTTTGTAAAGCATCTTGTGTTGTATTTCAAGTGTCATATTTTTAAAGTTACTCTTTAGCCATGTGTGCAACTTTTTTAGGTATTCTAATGGGACAAAAGTAAGGACAAGTGGAGAAATGGGAGGGGGGGGCGGCAGGCTAGTGACAGAAAATTGTATCTTAAATGGTAGTTTCATAAGTTATTGGCAGGCTGAATGAATTAGAAGTCTTACTTTGGCAGACTAAAAATTGTTGATCCCTGATATGTGTTCATTATAAGTCAGTTCTCTACAAATAAAAGCATGCAAAAATACTTAGGCACTTGTGACAATATAAAAAGCTAAATAACAATATAATATAATGGATTTATTCCTGAGATTTAAAATGGAAATGTTCATATAGCAAATTTTCAACAAGTACTGTTCTGAAAACTCTGATTTGTACATTGTATGTTTATAGATAACAAAAGAGATTTCAATTAAAATAATTTTCCACAAACTTATAAAATATTTCAGAAACACAAACATTGAAAATGAAAAGTGAAATTATTTAAACTGTTACTTCTCTCAAACACAATTATTTATTCTAAAAAATATGGCAACGTGAAACAATAAAATCAAGGTAATGTCTATTAATAAGTTGAGCATTAAAAGTAAAAGAGTTTACATACCGGTACAAAAAAAAAAACTATATGTAAAACATAAGATCTTAAAATCTAGTATAAATAAAATTGTTGTATGATATACACAACATTTTTCATTTGTATATATGAATATATGTATGTATAAAAATTCAGTTGAAAAATATCAGATGGATAAATTATTAATAAAATAAATTTTAATCTCAGAAAATAAAGAAAAATAATGTCTAGTTAATTACTTTTTTAAAATCCTATTTTTCAAGCTAATATATTCATCTAAAAAACCTACAATGTCAACATATTATTTTTACGCTAACAGTTAACAAGATGAATGTTCTTGAACTTCCTGAGGTTCATCTATCTCAGTCAAACAGTCCCTGAGCTCTTTACCAGCTGTTTCTGTTTTTATAGCAAACGTAAAAACACACTGAACAACAAATAAGCAGCCCCATGTTAGTGGATAGACCCAGGGTATGTCACAAGATACCAAAGTTGCTCCAACAAACGGAGTTATCAAGCCTGGAATTTCTATAACGATATTCATCCATGCCATGGCTGTGCTCCGGACATCAGTTGGATACAGCTCTGGTGTAAATGCATTTAATATTGAGTAAATTGGAACCATGCTAAAGTAACACAAAATGATCAGCACAGATTTGAATGCATGCTCTGGAATAAAGCTAAACAACAGCAAGGCTATAGCAGTGAAAGCAGAAAAAAATCTTAGAGTGCGGACCCTGCCCAACATGTATCTTTCAATGAGAATCATGGCCAGAAATAAACCAGGGATCTCACCAATGAACACTGAAAATACGTTGAAATAAAACTCTGCTCCTAATTTAGCCATGTACTCGGGCAGGTAAGCTGTCACACCCCAGTAGCCCGCAGCTTGAAGAAACCAGATGCAAGAAAATACTAGAGTTCGGATTTTTAGTTCTCCTGTAAATAGCTGCATAAGCCGACCTTTTGGCTTATCAGAAACTGGACATATAATGTTATCTGAAATGAAAATGAGTTAGACTTCATCATAATATATAGAGGACAGCATTCAAGCCAAGTGAATTAAATAAATAGAGCAACAAGATATGAGATAACAGTTAAACAGATGTTTCAAGCATAAACATAACTTGTTTCACTATTGATGCCAGAACATCAGTTGTTATTAATTACAAAGAATCAAATTGATTTATTAAATTAACTCTTTACCCACTGACTATCAAAAACATGAGCCTTTGAAACATGTGTTTTGGTTAGAAGAGTGTAGATATTTAAGCTTTTGAAATTAAGTCTTCTTGAGATTCTCTTTTTTTTTTATTTACCTATAAGTTAATGTAAAATTGCTAAACTTTCACTTCCAGTTAAAGAAGTTATAATTTATGGAAGGCTGTTAGCACAATTAATTAGAAAATTTAAAAAGGGATGGACATAATATGGTACTTTACAAGGAAGTATAAAACTTTGAAATCATTTTCTTTAAAGACTATGATTTAAATAATTTATAAATGTTTGTTTTGTCTTTCATTTACTTTTCAATTGATACCGGTACAACATAAATCATACTAAAATCATTGTTTTTGAGGATATTTTTTTCTCTTGTCAGTATTTATATTTGTCATGCTTTGGAATATTTATATGAGGCTGTGACTAGATTAATATTTATCTGCAACATATTTATATTTTATTTTTTGGAACAGGATTTATTGCTCTTTTACATATTTTTCTATTCTCTATTTCAAAAATTACCATATATCAAACAAGTGCTAAATGATATTTATTACAAATAGCTTAATCGATTTAAAAAATTCAGTTATAATCTATATTAAATTCCTAATATAAATGAAAAGTACAAATAACTTGCTTCTATTTAAGACAAGTAAATTGAGGATTAAAATAGATGGCTAAAGTTATTCATTTTCAGATGAATTAAATGAAAGAAAGGGTCCCCTAATGTATACAAAAATGCTCAGTTAACTTGACCTGCAAATCTCAGTGTGCATGCATTTTAAAATCACTCATTCAATTAACAGAAAGCACAAAAGGTACTGGCAACAACAACAACAAAAAAACTTGATTTCTTTTAAGACAGATCAGGACCATTGAGCTACATGCTTATTCTTAATAATATATGACACAGTTAATCTCACCTAGATCAGGTATTTCACATTTGTTTATTCTCCCCATGGCCTTCAAAACTTTTAGGGCTTTTGATTTTTTTCCAATGGTGAATAAGAATCTTGGACTTTCAAAGAATGCAAATGGTTGATAGCCTAATAGTAAAATAGCTGGGGCAGCACAAGCTCCAACAAACCATCGCCAACCAAATCGTGGGAGAATGAGCCAAGCAAAGCCACCTGCAAGGACAGCACCTAATGCTCCACATAAGGTCACTACTACAAGGATGGCACCTCGTTGATGCCTTGGTAGGAACTCTACAAGTATAAAGATGTAATATTTCTTTGACTACAATGACATATGAGAATAATGAGATAATTTTCTACATATTTTTTTAAACAACTTTAAAACTATGAATGCAAAATTGACTTTTTTAAAAGGCAAACAAAACAATTTTCAAACTGCTAATATAAATAGAATGTCAAAAATTATTTAATCTTCACTGGTAACTCAAAAATAAGGAGAACAAACCCAATAATAAGACAAATCCAACAGCTTCAAATGCTCCGGTTCCCACTGTAACCATGCATCGAGATGCAATAAATAAAGGAAAAGATGGTGCAAATGCAGACAATAATCCAAAGATAGCTATGAAAACAATACCAAAGAGAAATGGTAGCAAACGTCCACATCTGTCACTTATGGTTCCAGCAGCATAACCACCGATAATACCAGTTATGCCAGAGCTGAAATTTCCATACACAAAAGATAATATTAAAGTCAAAAGGGACTAATATTAATTATCTTTAAACTTTTAGCTTTATTTACAACTAAAATGAAATAAATTTGATAGCTGTTAAGAGGACTGCACATTTAAATATTTTCAATCAATTAAAGAATAACATGATTTCAAATAGGTCTCACCAAAATGGCAGCCAAGGAAAATGCATTGTATCAAGGTCCCATTCTTTTCTTATTGGAGTGCTCAGGAAAATGAAGAGCATCATCTCAGAGCAAACTGCAAAGTAACCACCTCCAACAAGGGCCAGCATTCGCCAATGAAACTGACCTAATTTTAGACTGGACAGAAGATCGTCAAGATGATGTGGTTTCCCTGTACTTCCATATTTTGTCAAAAGGGCTTCTGAGCCGAGTGTATTGTCATTTGATGCAGATGAAGTGAGGCTGTGGTCAATCGTAGCTTGTGATGATTTTGTGAGATTGACTTTAATCCCATCATCAGCCTGTTGGGCCATTTTAGAGTTTGAGACTTTAAGATATTATTTACATGTGTTTACTGTCACCAACTGGAACCTGAAATGTAAGATAAATTTAATTTCATTACCGGTATACTAAATTTAAAAACTTAAACGGAAAAATAAACACTTTCTGCTTTGGCTTAGCAATGGTCGATCTTGAAATAAACTTACCAAGTGACAGTGCCTGTCACAAATGACTAGGGCTGAGCAGGGAAATAATGGCCGAAAGTACCAGACAAAAGCACAACAGATGAGGGAGTAGTTAACCTGACATAGGCAGAATTTATAGTAGTACAGTAGTACAGTACATCTTGGGAAACAGGGAAACACCATGTGGAAAGTGTGAGAATGGGTATCACGAATGAGTTCAAGCAATAAGTTTTGTATTTAGCTGGTAAAAGTGAAATGTTCATGAAGACCATGGGCATGGGTAGATTTAGATTAATTATCAGAGATAGAAAAAAAACTCAACGTGATAGATGCTAATAAGCGAGTGTGTTGTTAGTAGTTAGTTCTTTGCATGCGAAGGTGACCAATTCTATATTACACTGTGTGTACGCCGGTGGCCTGCCAGTCCTATTTGTGCCTGGAAAGCTTTCCTGTATGTGGGACACACAATTGTTTTGGGTCAATTCTGCTTTTCCTTGCAGTGCCCTTTCTTTGGGCATGAACGGTATGCTTATTCTTTGAAGATTGTGCTCCGACAGTGACTCTGCCAGGCCATCTTGAAGGTCCATAGCAAGTGTCTTCCACAAATCAAGGTCAGTGTCCATGGATTTGAGTGAAGTGTTTAGACTTAAACAGTCCTTGAAGTGTTTTTTTCTGCCCATCAACTGAGTGTTTCCCACTTGAGAGTTCACCCAAAATGAGTCATTTGGGAAGTCTGCTGTCTGGCATTCTTGCTACATGCCCTGCCTATGAGCGGGTACAGATATGGAATAGGCGTCAGGGGGTAAAATAGCTATTCAGGAAAATGTTGTCTTAAATGATGTAGCAATTAATTGACCGTTAGATTCCTACCAGTTATTAGTAGAATTTACAGTCACATGTCAGGGAATTTAAGGGAGCAGTTTTTCAAAAGACAGACAGTAGTACTACTTGAATTTGAACCAGAGTCAGAGCCATCGTTAGAGGAAAGACCTGCAAAATTACGGGAAAATGTTAACACTTACAGTAAAATCAGTAGTATGAGAACAGAGCGAAATAAATCTACTCAAACTTTAATAATTATTATTATTACCGGTATTTATAAAGACTAAGATTTAAGACTATTAATTAATTTAATATTAACTTTACTTACTTAAAAGTAAAAGACTGGTAGCACTAGTCACTAGTACCTACAGTCCACTAGTAGCGGCCTGTGGTGTAGAGTAGAAATGCAAGGCTTGGTTGCTCGGATGAAAGATCACAGAAGTGCTTCTACTTCTGGTAAATGTAATAATAATGAGAAAGCATGTTAACATAAAACAGAATTAAAGATATAAGCCTAATACTTAAGTTGAAGTACACACCTGCAGATACTGGTTAAGTCCTATGACCTTTCACGCCATCCATGGTATCAACTTTAACCTTTGACATCATCATTGTCGCATAGTAGACATAGTCCTAACCTAATTGACAGGTTTTACCGTAAATGCTGTTACCGTACACATTTTAAAAAGACTTTTTGTGTATTTAACGAAATTAGTAATAAATATAGATTTTTTTTTTTAATTTTCAAATGCAGCCTATTCTTTCATGCTAATCCGCTATAAAATATTGATTTCATTTGAAAATTAACATGACCAGTTCTATGTGTAAACACGAAATTCTAAAATTCATTATTCAAGTTTACTTTCTTCGGCAATTTGGAAATTTTTTTTGAATTTGGACTAGCAGTCAACTAGCAGTTATGTCATAATATTCTAACACAAGACAACCAATGCTGAAATATTACTTTAATAAAACAAAATATAGTGACTTTAAAAATATGACAAGATCCTACAATATAATAACGAAATTTGACATTTAATTTAATTTTCAGCAATATATTATATATGTAGCATGAGTTAGGTATACCACCGCGATAAACGTACGACCTCTAAAAAGATTCAAAATATCGAAAAATCAATAGTTTTTCCAGACTACCCCACCAGCTTTCAAAGAGGTTCAGGCCATCTGGGGGGATGGGGATAAATATTTCTTTCCAGCGTTTGTCAAAACCGATTGTGCCACAACTAATTATCACCATTGCCAGGCTCGGATTAATTAAAGCAATATAAGTTATAAGTACATGTTTAGGGCACCAGTAGAAAGAGGGGCGCCACAAAAATACGTATTAAAAACTCTATATTTTTGTGTAAACAATAAAAAGCTGGCAAAACAAACTTGGGCAAACAGAAAAAGAAAAAAAAAATCATTACTGTTATAACGTTTTGGTCATATCTAAGTCTCATACAAGACCTAGAGGAACATTTTAATCATAATCCTCCATTTTTTAAATATTTTTTTTAAACGAACATTTAGACCTACGCATCACAATGTCTTAATTTACAATATCTTTTGTTATAAGAAGTGTGTCTGATTTTAATATAATTTTATTTTAACGCACCTTCATTTTCCATGCTAGCGTTCTCACGCAGCTCCAGTCACTTTGCAACTGAACGTAGGTCCATGTGTGACAATGAGGCATGTCAAGATTAGTCATGTTTGGTATACACACTTCGGTTTCATTTTTTTTATTTTATAATATGACAAAGCGAACTATAAACATTACTGTTCAAGTAAAAGAAAATGCAGAGTAAACAGATTTATTTTCAATACAGGACTAGCGGTGTAGTGCAAATGGAGCAAATGAGTAATTTGGACCCAGGTGGCACACACGAGGCCACTTATGGCCACGACAATAATGATAGGCTTACCGGGTACACCAGAATGACAAGACGAGTTTTTTTTTGTTTTTGTTAAAACATTTATTGCGCGCACAACACAGCAACTGAGGCCTTGTTTCCTGATTTCTCGTCCACAGGTTGCGAGAATCCAGACAGCATACTTCCTAAACAAAGTTTTGCATTCAAAGTTGTTGTTTTTTTCACTTCACATGTCCCCTTAGTGTCCGAGACCTCGTGCAGCGACAGGCGATGCAGGGCCCCACGCGACGGCTCTGCATTGAACTATATTCACGGGAAACTCTTGCCCAATGTCTCACCCCTTCCAGGGGCCTCACAATCCAAACAGTATCAAATGGTCCATACTGTCAATGATATTGAAATATCATCATCATTAAGCAATTTAAATTGATTTGAACGTTCAGTGTGAGGGTTTTTTTTTTTTTTTTTTTTTTTTTTTTTTTTTTTTGTTTTTTGTGTGAACAAGTTTGTTTTTTTTTTTACATTTTTTCCCTTGGTTTTTTTTAATCTTTTTTTGGTGGGGGGTATATACTAGCTTAGACAAAATCGTCAATTTATACAAATGTAGCAATGTTGAAGGAGGGTGGGTGAAACTTGTTAAAGTAAATCAAAGAGTTTTGCATTAGGTAACATATGGTCATTAATTAGTACCTTATCTGAAAAAAAACTTTGGTAATTTATTCCAAATAAATCGTTCAACGCACTGAAATTTTTGGGAAATTTATACCGGTACTGCTTGAAACTGCTTTAGCTGCCTTCAGATATATCATGCACCTACTGGTTCTAGAAGGATACGTTGCTGAATCTATATACTGGCATATGTACTGTTGTTCGTCACTCGGAAATCGACCATGACCACTTTGATCATCGGATTTGTGCTTGTTCTGATCGTGTCTGTGGTCGCGAAGATAGCTAATAAGGCCGATTCTGACACGAAATTTTCTTGTGCAGTAGGTGCAGGGGACTGATGAGGCATCTCCGGGAGCAGAGTCAGATCGGGCCTTCCTGATATGTCTCTTGCGCTCTGCAGCCGCTGTTCTGCTAACTTCATGTTGCATGGAGCTCCTGTGTTAAGAGGAACGCCATGATGTTTATTCCTCCCACGCGTCTGGGTTTGCGTTGAATACTTTCAGTGAGGCTTTTAGGTCATCTTTTTAAACGTTTCTTCTGTCCGCCAGCAGATAGCCTTCCAAGTTCGAGCTCACTATAGAATATTCTTTTGGGCAGACGGTCGTCTGACATTCTCAATGTCCCTCCCAGTGAAGCTGGGACTGCATTAAGATGGTAAATATGCTGGGAAGACCTGCCTGAGTGAGTACCTCAGCTCAGTGTCTGGGTCCCTGTCCTGCCATTTGATGTTGAGGATTTGTATGAGTCCTGTTGTATGAACGTGGTTCAGCATTCTTGCATGGCTTTTGGTATACCGTCAACATTTCACAGGCAATACTTTCAATTTAGTTTAAGTGCTGATACCTCTCCTGGTCCATACGTTCTTAGACAGTTAGCCATAGGCTTCACTGGCTCTTGCAATACGTAGGTTAACCTCGTCGTCGAGGGTTGCGCTGTGGGACAGAATGCTGCCAAGGTAAGAAAAGCTATTCACCACATTTCGCAATATACTTGCATATAGGACTCAACAAAAGGTCTTCGAAGAGGTAGCTGGTATAGGACCTCAGTTTTTTTGTGTGTTATCTTGAGCCCGAAATTTGTGCAGGCATTGGAAAAATTTGTGACGCTGCGTTGCATATCCACTTCTGATACAGCGTTTAAGGCACGGTCTTCTGCATACAGGAGGTCCCTCGTGGTGTCTGTCACGACCTTCATATTTTCATGTACCAATAACTATATGACGCCTTTTAAAACTATTTCCTGTCGTCTTTGCATAATTATAACATTTAAATACATTTTTTAATGACCCGTTTTAATAGGCTTTAACAATCTGTAGAGCATTTCTACTAAATCGTACTTTTTGCTCTCGTTTTCCAAACGTAAAATTTCGAAATATTTTAATTTTTAATAAATGCAAGAAATGTAATCGTTGTGGGCTTATTCAAAATTATTGGTAGATTTGTTTATTTTTCATTCAACAATGTATAATGAGGTTAGCAGTCTGTATGTTAACAATCCTTTTTTGGTAAGAAGCAACCTTTTTAAACAAATATTATTTTAAAAATTCATTTAATAATGAAAATAGATTTCCGACTGACGAACAACAGTACATATGCCAGTATATGGATTCAGCAATGTAAATAAAAATAGATGTAGTTTAAATTAAAAATTATAAAACCTTACTATTGTCATGGATATCATTCTAAACTCTTATTTTTTTTTGCAAAAAACTTGTTCGAATTTGATAATGGGTGCATGGCAAAACCTGGATTCAGTACCCCAAGGGCACCGAAAATTAAAAACGTTTTGGAATATCTGCCGTATAATTTAACTTCTATCAACTGCTTAGATTGTATCCATATTGATCGGAACCTGACCTCTGGTCGCATGATTGGAATGAACCGTGAACCTGTAACGAAAGGAGTAGGATATTTATCTCGAGATCCCGCACGATTTTAGTTAACAAAATATTCCTGGAAATTTTTCCCATTCCGGGTACACACTTTTAGAATTCGATTTTCTTTTTTTTTTCCCCTTTAAAAAAAAAAAAAAAAAAAAAAAAAAAGCTATTGTTTTTTTTTTTTTTTTCCAAAGTTTTCGTATTGATGGTGAGTAGTAGTTGTCGCAGGCCTTATGAAAACGATCATGTATTTGCTGCATTTCCAGCCCCGAGGTTAAATTTAAGGCATAGTCATCAGCAAACAAGAGGTCTCTAATAACAGTTTCTTTAAATTCGTAACAGCTTGCAGTCTCCTAGGATTAAATAGCCCTCTGTCTGTCCTGTATCTTTAAGAATGGACTCATTATTGTCAAGAAAGCCATCAGTCATCATTGCTGAGAATACATGCTAATGTGTATAGGTGCTAGAATACAGTCTAACTTTAACGCCAAAAGTTACAGGAAAAGCCACATATCTTCTCCAGAATCCATCACCATAGCCAGTATACCATCATGAAGTTGACGTACTATTGTGATGAATCTATCCGGGAAGCCAAACTTCTCTGTTATCTTCCATAGGCCATTTTCTATTGACTCAGTCAAATGCCTTGGTCAGATCAAGAAAGGTGACGAACAGGCCCCTGTGTTGCTCTTGACATTTTCCCCAGAGCTTGCGTGCTTCAGACATCATGTAAAGCCATGCCCCGTTCTGAACGGAATCCACATTGGCTTTCAGAAAGTATTCCTTGCTCAAGATGTAGTAACTAAATTATTTTGTTTTACTATTATATATTATTGTATAGTGCGTTTAACAAGAAATTAGACGAAAATTTTAACGTGTGAACTGGAAAAAAAAGGAAAAGATTCGACCAAATTTCTGTTCGATCAAATTTCCGTCGATCAATTTACCGTCGACGAAATTTCCTTCGATCAAATTTCCGGTAACCCATTTTGCTTGGGGGTTGGGGCGCCCCCCCCCCCCCCCCCCCCCAAAAAGGAAAAGATTCGACCAAATTTCTGTTCGATCAAATTTCCGTCGATCAATTTACCGTCGACGAAATTTCCTTCGATCAAATTTCCGGTAACCCATTTTGCTTGGGGGTTGGGGTGCCCACCCCCCCCCCCCCCCCCCGTATATGTTTAAAAGAAACAGTGTGCCCGGGACGTCAAAGTTAAGCTTGCCCACGGCGTCAGCAACCAGCACTGTTGGTGGTATTATACCATTTTTTTAAAAAATGCATGCACCATTATTTTGAGACCATATCCTCACCCATCAGAAAAAAATACAAACGTTTAAAATCCTGTAGCTGCTGTTAATTTCATTGTGGAAAAGAAAGAAATGTTAAAATGTTCGACAACATTCCCCTACACCGGAATCATGTCTATAAATGGCAACAGGTCCTTGTCTTGATAAATCTTATCATTTTTATGTCCCTTTGGTTTAGTGTAACTATGGCTGCCTATACTATGTTACAATATGTAGAAGAAGCTGCCGAATGAGTCAAAAGTAGGATACTTGTTAGACAATGATCATCGTCTGAAATGAAGCGCTTTAATAAGAGTATAGAACAAATGGCTCGATCATGAGAAGAATAATGGCAACAGCAGCCAATGCCAGCTCAAAAATGAAAGGTATAATTATAATAAATAATTAGAGTACGAGTACGGAGTGTGCCTTGCCCTATTTAGTCTTTAGTATGAGCAAGTAATGAATGTGAATGATTAATGAATTCAATGGATGGGATCCAACGAGGCTTCCAGTAATTTAAACCTATTGCCAAAATGCCCAAATGAACTAATTTAATGTGATCAATAGTTAATAGTATCAAAGTTAAGACTGAGCTACATGATCTTTAACTTTTAACTGAAACACTATCACTAAAAAAAAAAATATACATATATTTTTTTCTGTTTGAAATACAATATTCTCTTTAGTAGATTTAGTAGAAACTACTACTACTACTTATTAATAACATACATCGGGGTACTACCGTTTGGCTACACGTCTTTAGTTTAAGTTGATTTTTTTTATTAAGTGCAAAGTGTGCCAATACCAAATATACCCCTTAATTTCTGAATTGACTGTGTGAATCAAGTTAGTGAATCCTAATTAACTTAAACTTTTACTTTTATCTCACTGAACTTACTGACACTTTACACATCATCATTTTAGCCACTTTGCTGAAAACAAATTTAATCCTTACACTCTTATACTTAGGGGCTATCCATAAATGATGTTGCGCAAATTTTGCAGATATTTAACCCCCCCCCCCCCCCCCCCCCCCCCCCCCCCCCCCATCCCTCATCTCAAATTGTAATGAAAAATTTCCCTAAAACAGTGGTTCTTAACCAGGGGTGAAAGCATTTCGGGGGTGCAGAAGACCCAGAAAATGGTATTTGGTGCCAATGCTAGTTGTGGCAGCTTTTTTTTTAAAATGAGTTTTTATGGAGTATGATCAGCAACAGTAAATTTTTTGTGTTTTTGCACATTATTTATATTGGTGCATTTTTTGTTTCTTTTTCTAGAAAGTTAAATAAAGTAATAAAACTAATAACTTAATTATTTTATTATTTTCATTAATTAAAAAAAAATTACTATCAATTTCTTTGACCTGCGAAAAGGGGGCGTGGGGGTAGTTTGTGGGAAATGTGTTGAAATTGAGAGGGGATGCAGCACTCTAGAAAGGTTACAAATTCATGCCCTAGAACATTTACTAAGATTATTTCTTCACTCTATGTCAACCATTTTTCATTCCATCCCACTTGACGTCTTCACATTTCTACATTCATTCTTATAACTGTCATTGTCATTACACCCCCATTCTTCTACTCCATGGCGTCCTATAACTTAATCAGAGCTAGTTTTCCAACCTCGCACACCTGTATTGATTCTCTCAGTAATAACAGTGATCATAGTTTATTCTTTTATACAAAAATTATAATCCTATTTTTTTATTTTTAAACTCTTATGTTAAAAGGTCTGTAATTTAGTGTTATTCAGTGTATTTTTTTTCAATAAGGATCAAGTTTTTTATGTGATGTCACATTTGCGTAACCTCCCCCTCGTCACTTATCGTTACAAGAATGTGACCTTCCTCCCCCCAAGATGCATGGATGACCCTTAGTATTTATGAAAACAAAATATATTGGTGATGTGAGTGAATAAGCTCTTGGTTTTTTTTTAATAGTAAATAGAATTATAACACTATTTAATCTGTAATTTTTGCAGGACAGATTAAATCAGGGCAGCTTGACGATAAATCACCATCTCTTAGCCCCAGTCCTCCTCGTGCCAGGAGATATGGAAGTAATGGGAGAAGTGGAAATCAATCTGATTCTGACTCTGGCATAACAACTGGCATACGTGACTTAAATGTTGGACAGCGATCCAGAACACCTACTAAGCATTTTGAAACTCGGTAAGATATTTTCTGTAATTGTAAAATACTATCTCAAAATTTAAAATACTTTTTTGGGATTAATATATTCAAAATCTATTTGTAATGTTTTAAAATTGTAAATGTGCAGCAGGACGTTTTGTGCTAATGGAAGCCGAGTCATTCTCAGAAATTTACAAGATGTTGCAAATATGCTGAAAGATGAACAGGCCAAAAATGTTGTCATTGTTGCAGGAGCTGGAATTTCCACTCCAAGTGGTATTCCAGATTTCAGGTGAGTATTTAAACAAAATAATTGTTGATTAAATTTTCCCATAGGTAAATTATAAAAGATGTATTTTTTACTGCTTGGTATTGTTTACTACAATGTCTTGATTGTAATATACGCTAAACACATATGTATTTTTACTGGTGCATAAAAATATTGCAATATTTACTGTATAATTCTGTAATTTATGCTTTCATAAATTCATTTGTTAAGGACTCCAGGTACTGGTCTCTATGATAACCTCCAGCGTTACAATGTACCCTACCCAGAAGCCATCTTTGATATAGATTTTTTTCATCACAACCCTCGCCCATTTTTTACTTTGGCAAAAGAGTTGTATCCTTCGGGGAAGTACAGACCAAACTACATTCACTATTTTGCTAGATTGCTAAATGACAGAGGCATGCTGCTGAGAATGTACACTCAAAATATAGATGGTTTAGAAAGATGTAAGTTAAATTTTTATTCAACATAAAAAAATTAATTTGTAATGATTTTTTTAAAAACTTAAATTTGAATAACTGTTAAAATAAAGAGTGCAAACTTAGATTTACATACTGGTACAAAAAAATATGTTAAGAAATGCATTAAAAATATCAACTTTATCTGTCTGTAACAGTGGCTGGTGTCCCTCCAGATAAATTAGTAGAGGCTCATGGAACTTTTTCAACAGCTTCTTGTGTAGTATGTCATGAAAAATATAGAGGATCAGAAATTAAGGTATTCTTATTAGTACTGTCTTTCTGGCATTGGTTCTGTATTGTCATTATGTTTAATTTGGTTATTAAATTTAAACAAAAAATTAATATATTAAATAAATATAAATCAATATAATTTCTATTTTTCTGATTTATATAATTTATAAACCTGTAACATTTTTTCCCCTCTTAGGGATGACCTAAAATGCATTAGATGTTTAGCCTTTATTAATCAAATTAGAATTAAAGGTCTCATTTAATAAGGGGGCATCCATATATGACCGTCAATCACCTGTGGAGGGGGGGGGGGTCCACCATTGGATGATGGTGTGTGTTAAAGTGTCTCATTTGTATTTTAAAATTTTCACATTGTTGAAGGAAAAAAAAAAGACCCTGAATAGCATGATGTTATTTATTGATGGCCCCTTATCACCAAAACTCATTCAAGCTATGAAGTACAAAAAAACAAAATTTTAAATCTCTTTCAGAGCAGTATATAAAAGTAAACAAAAGTTTTTCTGTCTTTTAATCACCCATAGCAATCATAATTAGTCTTAGTGTATTATGATATTGATACTGTGCTATAGCATAAAAAAGACTTCATATTCTTATTTTCATAATAATCTAAGGACAGTATATTTGAAGATAAACTTCCCAAGTGTAAGAAAAGAGGATGCTATGTAAGTGTTATGATAAGTTATTTATATTTTTTCTACCGGGTACTATTAAATTCCATTTTGTTTTAATAAAGTGAAAAGGCCAATTATATGATTTAATAGAACCATTGGGCATACATATGAACATCTTTATTTCAATTGCATTAAACTAACTTTGTATTTTGTTTCAAACTGTCAGGGTGTTATAAAACCAGATATTGTATTTTTCGGAGAAGAATTGCCCAAGCGTTTTTACTATTATTTAAAAGACATGCTGCAGACAGATATGGTCTTAATCTTGGGAACATCTTTGGAGGTAATTCATTATTTCTTTTTTATATTGTGCACTGAAAAACTGTATGGTATTTCTATTTTTAAAACTTATTATTATGGATTTTGTGTTTTAAAGAAATCTTTAATCAGTGTAAAAATTATTTCACTTTATGCGTTGTGTGTCATTATCAGATTATTTCTCCAGGTACAGCCATTTGCTGGTATAATTGACACAGTGCGGTGGACAGTACCAAGAGTATTATTTAACAGGGCAGCTGTTGGGCCCTTCAAACATGGAAAAAGAGCAAAAGATTTTGTTGCTGAAGGTGTTTGAGATATTTAAAATTTAAATTGAAGTGTTAAAGAATTAAAATGTACAAACAGAAACATACATTTAAAACAATACATTTTGTTATTCTGAATTATTTATTAGTATTATAGGATTTCATGCCATTTTTCCAAAATTTCCAAGTATATTATTTCAATTTAATGTTTGATTTTCTGTGCTTTTAAATTTCTGGGCAGTTTTAAATATCAAAATACTTTTTTTTCTATACATTTTTAAGTATTTAAATTTAAAAAAAAAATCTTGGACCACAAAGACCATGGTATTTAGTGAATATTTTTTTAAAAAATACGATCTTACTCAATTCACATCTCTTTTATAGGGGACTTGTTGGAGTGTTTACAGATGTTCGTCCATATGACTGGCATGAAGGAAGATATGATAGATTTGATTACGCAGTCTGAAGGAACATTTAGATTGGTAATGGCTTGAGGGAGTTTATAATTCTGTATAATTTAATCTAGTCCAATTGGGTACATCTTTAATGTAAAACTATGTATTTTTAATTTTAACAACAAACATATCAATACAGTTACATAAATAAATATTTGTACCAGTTAACTCTATCGCTAGTTTTGAATAATAATTGGTGTTTTATATATATAATATAATATATACATCTCGATGGAAAATTATGGGTTAAAATATTGTTTTATTAAAAAATATTTATTGTATTTTAACTTTTGATTAAAAAATATCCCAGTTACTCATCATCTACCTCAGTACCTTGTGCAGAGTTGGAAATTTGACCATGTGTTTTTATATTTGTTTTCTAGGCTGCCCCACTCCCACCTGAGCCACAACAGCCCAAACCTATTAGCAAAGGGCCTGGAACCAATTCATCAAATCCTGTTCTTGCTGCCCTGTGGAGACAAAATGCGCGTGCTGATTTATATTCTGACTCTGATTCTAGCGAATCATCTCATTTGTCCGACTCTGATTCTGACTCTTCGTCCAGTTCAGAAAAACTGCAAGCAGATAAATTAAAAAATGCTAGTAAGAATGGAAATGTAAATTCCTCTAAAGCAGATAACAAGCAGATAAAAGGTGGGGCATTGGCCTCCACCTTATCCCAGAATGGAGCAGGGAGTGGCCGTCCACCAAGTGGAAAACCTTTAGGTGGTGGCAACAGAAATAATTCCAGCAGCAATGGTTCGGGACAGAGTCGACAATTTTCATCCCTTCTCTCCCGTAGAAGAGACATTGGTAAACCACCCACGCCAAATTTCTCCAGAAGACAGGAAAGTTCACCGTCTCAATCAGAGACAGAGCCAGCAAGAAAATCAGAGAGCATATCACCTGGTAAAGTTGTGAGAAGGAAACCACAAATTGAAGCAACATTGAATGTTCATAGAAAACCACCACAACCCCCAGGTTCCCATCCTACCAAACCCAGGTCGAACTCTGTAAACCAGGCTGCTCCAGAGAAGGCACATTCTTGCAAAATCAGTGGGTTCAGAGCTGTTATTGACAGGGTGCGTTCAGCCAAGCCAGCACGGATGGTCTATCAACATAGGCCCAGTCCTAAGCCAGCCTACGATGCCAGGATTCTTTCATACAATGCTGCCATTTCCAGCAGCTCTGAAGATGATGAGGATGACCGAGATGAAATTGATGATGATTCTTCTTCAGATGATTCAAGATAGAGAAAAAAACTGTGCCAAAAATATGTAATCAATGTTAATTTTAAGTTATTTTAAATATCTTTAAATGTTTTTATATTTTGGATCCATTTAAAAAATTTTTGTTAAAAAAATAACTGACTCTCATTTTTCTCTTTGTTGGTGACTCTCATTGTTCTATTTGTTTTTTTTTTATGAGCTGGAGAAATTACATATCTGAATTTGTTATTCCAAAATATTGATATTCCATGAATGTTTAATTAAAGCTTCATGAATAATTTATGTAAAATTCTCTTGAAGTTGAAGACCAAATGTGAAAGTGGATAAAAAAATTGTTTAAATTGGCAATATTTTTAATTCCCAATAATGTTATCAATATGTACAAATGAATTTATTGTTCTTTTATAGCATGCATTCAAATTGATTTAGGACTTGTACAGTTTTCTGTCATTGTCTTAGTAATTTGAGCACAATTTGTTTCTAGAAGCATTATTATTACTTTGGAATATTTTTGTGATTTTATCTTCTTCTACTCTCAAGATTTGTAATTGATGAGCTCCCTTTGCACTCTGCCCTGTGCCAAAATGATTTTTTAAAATTGTAATGAGTTTTTATTTTAGTTTCTTTTCAACTCTTGCAATGCTTTACAAATATAAATTATAAACATGTTTATTAAGAGTGATGATCCTTAACCTATATAAGTTGCAAGACTTGTTTTTTTCAACATTTCAACACAGTATAATAAAGCACTGACTCTTTTTAGTTACACGACCCCCATCCCTACAACAATATTTAAGTCCATATACATTAAATTTTCTTTCATTAGTTTCATTGCAAAATTTTATTCTCTATTATACTATTTTAAATTTATTTATAAGTTTTCCTATCTACACTGGGATAGTTTTATTTATTTGTTCTTCCATTGTAATATATAGTGTCAACTGTTGAACAAATATAAATCTGTTAAAAATGTAATGACAAATTTTAAACTGCTAAACTTTGCTCAAATTGTTAAATGAATTTTACTTAAAATTAAGCTCCTATATTAATATGAAGAAATATACTGTTTCTTGAGCTTTAAAAAAAATTTTTGTTTAGTGTGGTTAATTTGTCAGTCTTTTTCTGCAGTTTTATCAGACATGCAAGTGATAACAGAATGATGGCAACATGATGGCAATAGGCACTTGAACAAACAACTTAAATTTTAAATTTATTAAAATTATATTTGGAATGGACTGGCAGAATCTTGCTAGATATTACAAGTCTTATTTCGCACCCAGAGTTACTTATTGTTTTATTAATATGGTGAATAAAAAAATATGGTTATTGAAACAAATAATATAATAATTTATAAAATGCTTTTTTAAAGTAATAGTGTTTTTTCAGGGATATCAGTAAATTTTCCTGATTTTTAGAATGGCATTTCTCATGTAAATATTTTATGTTTAAGTCAGGTATTGTTTATCATGCTCATTAAACTTGATGTTACATAAGTATTCATTATTTCAATGTGATACAAATAAAGTATTCTCTATCAAATGGAAAAGTTTGTCTGTGAAGTAGCAAGTAACATATCCTAAAGTTTATTTAATTGTTTTAAATTACTTATTTATTTCCAAGCATTTGTTTGTGAGGAAAATTATTAATTTTGTTGTTGCTGTTTATTTATTTGTCATGCATCCATACATCACAGCTATAAAAGAGAGAAAATCTGCAATCTTTAAGCCAAACATTGCACTAATAAAAACAATTCATTGCATTTACAAGTATATATTGTTTGGTTAAAATGGAATTATTTCCTATTGAATAAAAATAAACATAGTTTAGCCACTTAAAAAAAAAATTAATACATGATTTTACACATTTTTATGACATAATATTTTTTAAACAGCTTATATTAATGCAGAATTATGGTCAACTCATTGGTTTAGATTTTTCACCTCATCAGACACGTCTGAGATTGAATACACTGCATCTTAGATCATTTTTTAAATTTATTAGGAAATTTGTTGCATATTGTGAAGCATTTTTTCCCCCAATTTTCTATAATTGTTTTAACTGGTACTTTTAATTTAACTAATACTTTTAATTATTACCATCCATGCCAACCTTTAGAGTTGACTTGTACTTTGTACGTTGTTAAAATGTTTTCCAAGCTGTACAGCCTCATGGGATTTTAACACGAGATTCACAGAAAAAAAAGTTCACACAGCACAGGTCAAAACTATTGGTCAGTTCAGTTCAAAATAACCTGTGGCCCAAAGTTTGGGATAGAGAGGCCAACTAAATATAACACCTGAGCAAGGTTCGAAATGTATATATGTAAGATAATGATAGCTATCACTGGAATCCTTATGGTAGTAACTACTTTAAGTAGTAAACCATAATTACAAATCGGTTTGTAAATATAATTCTTAGTAAAAACTGCAGTGTCAGTGTTATTTTATTTTTTTTAAATTAAATAATTAACTATATTTAATATCACCAACAAGGAATAGCTTTATTCATAATACCTATTTATAAGGCCTACTTTGCATGACTTAATTTCATGTGTTAACATTTTCTAAAACTAAAGAGGAGCTATCTTTTTGTTGTACAAGTTATTTAGAGCTGACATCAGTGAGATTTGTATATTGCATTCTTTTTAAATGTATAAATTTACTTCAGCTGGAAACTTCCTATTGAATTGGGTGAAAATAATTTTAAAAAAGCAAGTTTAGACACCCATCATAAGTTTATAAGTGAGTGGCTGACTGAATACCCTAGAATTATCAATGCTTCTTCATCAATCACATCATTGCAACCATTTTTCAAAAAGCGTTCAGGTGTTTTCTTCAGGCTCTTATGACATAAAGCACTTCTTTAAACACTTCTTCCAACTGAATCAAGTGTGTTCTTCAGGCTCTTATGACATAAAGCACTTCTTTAAACACTTCTTCCAACTGAATCAAGAGTTTTCTTCAGGCTCTTATGACATAAAGCACTATTTTACTTTAAACACTTCTTCCAACTGAATCAAGTGTTTGTTTCAGGCGCTTATGACATAAAGAACTTCTTTAAACACAGCTGCCAACTGAAACTTTCAGGCAATGAAAGGAAATTCTACATCTATTAAACCTTCTTTTCATACCCATCATGTAATTATCTATCAGATAAAGTTACAAGGGTGGAGATATTTGCAAATTTCATTGGGAGCAAAGCTATTTTACAGGTTAAAATTAACTATGACACTTGTTTGGGTTTTCATACAAGTCAAGGAATTATCAAGAAGGCAAAGTCTGCATGCATTCAAAACTTTGATAATTAATTAAATAAGAAATTTATAAAATTAACTTTTTTTAGACTTTTCTCAGCACAGTTTTATATGCTGTTGTACATATTTGAAAATTTTAAATATTTTTTGATCCTGCAGGTTGGCATGTGTTTGTAACTGTCAAAATGGAACTTTTTTTTTTTTAACCACAAATTAGCAAAAATACTTTATTATTCATATTGCTATAGGAAAGAAACATTTATACTTCCTACGCAGTATAAAATTTATTACAGCTACACAAGTGGTGAGTGTGTGTTTATAGCTATTGACATGCTACAAACTTTAGAATTTGTGATTATTACTAGTCTTTTTGTTGACAATACTGATTTTCTGTATTGTATTCAGATCGCTCTTTGAGTTTTGCTCTTGTTTTAAACATAAAAAAGATTTACATTTAAAAATTTTTTTTTTTACAAGTTCCTTATGGAAATTTAATTAATTAAAACAAAGAATTATTTAGTAGTCACCTCACTGGGATGAAATTTTAATTCTCATGTTATAAATGAATTTCAATCTATTTGCATGAAGACCATTTAAAACCTATACATTAATATCATGAATTAATATTATGACTCATTAACAAATGTATAGGAATAGTTAAAAGTTAAAGTAAAAAAAATCTCTATTCAAATTTAAGCCTAGAATATTTAGACCAATTTTTTAGACAAATTGACTGCCTTTGTTTAAAATATATATATGTATTTATAATGGATGATTAATCAATTTAATTGCTATTTAAATTTAATAAAAATATTTTTTCTTCAGATGTATGTAAAATTTATGTGTAATTCTATTTACTATGGAAACAATAACTATTTTTGCAATTTCTTTAATTTTAAAAAAAAGAAAGAAAAAAAAAAGAAAAAGAAACTAAATAACATGAAATAAAATTACCAATATTATTCTTATGTGTTCTGTTTTTTATTGTTTATAAAATGTCATTTTCTTTTTCAGTGTTATGCTGTCATCTAAAAATGATATTAATGTAATTTATCTATTTAATTTATTTCTTGGATATTTATTTTTAAAAAAAGAATATTAAATCAGTATAATTCATTTAAAAATACATATTTAATTAATTTTTTCAAATGAAAGACATTGTCAAGAAACAATTTTTAAAAATAAAAAGGGACCAAAAAAAATCAGCTTTGTACAAAGGGAAGATTTGACCTATGAAATCATGAAAAGAATGACATTTAGGCAATGTTAAAAGTACATCCAAGTCAACAGGTTTAAAATTACAATACAGCTAAACAATTTCAGAATTTAAAAAATTGAATTTCATCAGTTGAAGCATTCAGAGCTGCTTTTATAAATAAATTTCCAGTTTATTTTTACTTTTCACACATTTTCTTCCACCAGGAATGTCTGTTATAAACCAATGCCTCTTTAAAAAAAAAAAAAGTCAGGACCAAGTTACAACTTGCTTTTTACAAGTTCCTCTCCAACTGAAATAAAAGCAGAAAGTAATTTTGTATGAATTATATAGATATGATTTTTATGTAGCTTCCAGGTTAACCCTGAACTCAACAAAAGTCTCAAGTCTACATTGCAAGAAAATTTTTCTACACATGATTCTTCACGATCAAGATTCACATTTTAAAAATGAAGAACTTAGATAAAAATGTAAGAATAATTAAGTCCACATTTCTTACAACATGAAAGACTAACTAATTTTTTAAAAAAAGATACAATGAGTTTGGGAAAACCTTTGAATATCATTTGAAATTTTATTTGATAATTTAACACTCAAACTGTGGTCGGCCGACGAAATCGGCAGATATTCTCGTTCTGTGCTGTGGCGGCCGAAAAAATCGGCAGATAAAAAACACGGTCCGATAGCAACTTCCAATCCAATATTTAACCAAAATCATAGCCATTTCCTTTTATTAATAGTTAATCAACTTCCAGGTCAAGCTGATTCTTGATAACTGAACAATAAGTACTTTTTAATTGGAATTTTATATCGCTGTTTTTTAAAAAGCAAAAATGGCGGAAGCTATGGCGGGCCTTCAGTGCGAGAACTAATATAAATATTCTTGAAAGCTTTTTAGGAGAGGATTTAAGTGATGCTGATGATGATTTTAATATTCCCCATGACATCTCACTTCAGATTCTTCTTCTCGTGAATCTGATACTAGTCTTAGTGATACTGAAGTAGGCCTACTGAGGCTACTGTTTGACTTCGAGCCAGACCTGGAGGTTGGGCAAGGACTGACTGAATTTTAGTCACAGAAGCTACAGATTATAGATCAGAACTAATAAATTTTATATTTTAACAACCCAAATCAGTTCCACAGTTCCTTTTTAAATGTTTACTAGTCAATAATAACTATTTTGCCTGAGATTTTGTACTTTGTACTTGGTTTTAGCAGTGGTCCCAGTTTCTTATATAAATGACCTAAAATTGCTTTCAGATGTGTAATTGCAATCAAAACCTTAGCAAACTATACATTTTCAGATAGATAAATGAATTGGCTACAACATTTAGATTAGTGTTTTAAGTGTATCTATAAAAATTAATGATGTTATGAGCACTTGAAAGCAAGACATTTTGTCCATTTTTATTTTCTTGAGAACTCCAAGGTCAAGGACACTGAGCAAAAAATTTTTTCGGGGTGGGCAATATGGCCAACTTTATCCCCATCCAATTACCTTTCTAAAAATATATACTTACTGGGGTCTTGTATCAATACTTCTATTTAATGCAATTTCAAAAGGCACTCAAAAAGCTCTGAAAAGCTCCACACCACAGAATGATGCATGACACAGTTAGAGGGTTAACACTCTATTGCACCATTATTTAAAAAAAATTACAATGGTGAAAAAACAAATTTAAATTTTTTGGGAAGATTCTAAAATTCTAAATATAACAACTCACCAGCAGGATCCAATGCCCACAACTTTTTAATAACTAGATCCTTTTTCAGAAGAATAGAAAAGTCTGAAGTATCTGTAAATGGATGTAAAGCCCCGACTAAATACTAATTTATTAATGTTATACACATTTCAACTGTTTTAGAACAAGACTTAATATAAATTATTGCTTCTTTTTTTATTTTTTGTTTAAGAGCAATAATCATATTAAATCTCAACTCTATATTCATAGCAAATAATGATATTAAATTTTTACTCTATATTCATAGCAATAATCATATTCAATTTCAACTTATATTTCTATTGTTTCCTTGGCCAGTTTAAAGGCACTTTATCATTTAAGATTTTTTATACACCATAATAATCATGCATTCAGAGGAATGTTTATTTTAATAATAAGTTAATATTAAGATTATTACATTTTAAAAAATAAATAAAGAGTAGTTAATAAAATCATAATACATGAAGGACTGTATTCAAGCGGTGTAAAGGAAATAGAAGACAAGGAATGTGGGAGATTGAATCAAAAGACAGGACAATAAGATATGAAAATACGACAAGAAAAATCCTAAAAAGAACAAAGAATAACCTTAGATTGGGACAAGTACAAGTGTCGGACTTTTTATCATTTATCCTTGTCGTATTTTTATTTTTTCTGCCTGCTGACAAAGGCTCTTAACCGAAACATTCATATCTTATTGTCCTGTCTTTTCATTCAAGCTTCCACATATCGTGTCCTAATGATTCCTCAATAAAAGCAACAGGCTCCAGGGCTTTAAAAATTATTTCTTTGAGGGATTACCAACATAATTCATAATTTCCTATTGTAACCGTAGTTTAAACCGAAAAATGAACATACAAATGTTGTTAATATCATACAAAAAATATACCTCCTTTCTGAAGATAATGATCAATGGCAGGTAGTAAACTGCATGCAGGGATGCTCATATTGAGATGGGGGTAACATGAGTTACTACCCTTGTCTCTATTTTTAACAAAAATAAGAATGTGTAAGGTGTTTAATAATTTATATACTTAAATAAATTAGCATATTAAATAAAAGTATGAGGGCATGGAGGCCTAAATTGCACTCTAAAATTACTAATTTTTAATTTCTATACATTTTTGGGGTATGTATTTTCTTTTTTAAAGAAAAAAAATGAAATCCTGGCATTTTCTTAAAATCCAGATTTAGTTAACATTCAGTAAAACTACAGCTGCTTGTGCAGCTGTCTTCTGACTTTGGTGTTGGATGTTTTCTATTTTAAGATTTATTTTCTTCCCAAGCCCTTGTCTGCACTACAGGGCTGAGCCCATTTCATCTAACTATTTACCCACAGTTGATGACAACTCCAAACAAATTTGAACCCATTACCTCTTGTTCACATGCAATTTTGCAATTCCTATCATAACATTGTTATTTGCTAAGTTTAAAAATAATACCCAATCTAAAATGTTTGTATTAAATTTTAATGGTGTAATTTGAGACTTACATGGTATTACAGACCAGAATACCAATGAGATCTCCGTGGTCATTAAGTAAAGGACCACCACTAGCCCCTGGGTGGACAGCACAAGTTGACTGAAATGAAATAAATTAATTAACTGAAGCTAAGATAAAAAGCTTTCCTTAATTTTATCTTATTTTAATTTCAATTGTAAATTATCTATTAATAACACATACATCAACAACATGTTACTATTAAACTTTAAAAAATGTTTTAATTTTAAATTAAAATTGATTTGAAAAAACAATTCAAAACAAATTAAACATAAATATAAATAATGTACTACATAGCATTTAGAGGCAAGACTTATATTACAAAACCACTTGAGGGTGGTGGTCGGATTTGGAGATTTCTTTTGTTAAATGTGTGTTAGAGGGGGACTCTCCACTAATGCATATTTATGAAATTTTAAAGCAAAATGTATGTTAACTTCTCTACTGGCGAGCCTGTGCTCTTATTTGAGGCTAAAATAGGTAACAGCTTTCAAATAAATCTTTTGTGCTTTTATGATGAACTAGAAGATGTTTTTCACAAAATTTGGTTGCAGTTTTTATTATTATACATAGAATAGATCCAAGCATATTTAAATTTATAAAAAAGCATTTAGTTCACAACAAAACATGTTAACTTTTCCTAGATATCATGTCATTGGCATCAGAGTTTTGTTTTAAAAAAGGAGAAATTTAAAAATCACAAAAGACAAATTTTTACATAGGAAAAAAGTTTAATAAATTCTGTAATAAGTGGGGGGTCTGCGATCAGGTAAGGCTGGGGTAGGGAGGTTGTTGTGATGATTTAGCTCGTGTTTACCTTTTTTACATAATAATAAAGCAAAAGGAAGGCTGGAGTTTGAAAATATATTTTTTTTTGCATAGTACCGGTATATCGATTACCGTACCTGAATCATAACAATTTCACTTTCAATACTAATGACTTTAGATACAATCCCAGATGAAACAGATGGGTGAAGGTCAAGATCAGAACTGAATAAGGCATGACCCACAACCCATGCTTTCTCCCCTATAGAAAAAAAAAAAATATTGCATAAAAACTAATACTAACCTGAAATGAGAGTAGAGTTATGTTTTTAAGAACTAGAATGTTTCTTTTATAATTATACAATAAACTTGTTTGTATTATAATTATAATAGTATGTTTGCATTAACATACTTTGGGTATGTTTTAAACTCTTGCACTGCATACTCATTCTGTCACTGTTTCAAAAATTAATTTTAATATGAAAAAACAACACAAATTGCTTTTCAACAGTTCTTAAATTTTGGTTTGTGGCGTAGACAGTCATAAATTCAAACCAACATAACATAGACCTCATTCTTTTTAAGTACCAGAATTGAGGTCTTGACTCCACTTAATTGTTAATAAAAAGAACACCTCAGACTATTGAGTTCAAGGGCTTACATGTTGACCTGCTGCACTAACCTAATTTCGGTGAGCATATATTAGGGACTTTATTTCCAGGAATTAAGGATGTGGCCTGAGGACATTTTAACACTGCAATATCATATGGATCATGAAGTTTTTGATGACAGAAAATCACATGTGCTAAATACTCCTTTGATCCCTGGAATGGCTTGACGATCACTGACAAAGTGAACATTTAGATTAATTCTATTATTATGGCATTGAAAATCTTAACATTACATTTAGAATGTTTAAAAAAAAAAATTTTAAGTTTAAAAATAAATAAATAATTTATTTCTTGTTTTACTAAAAAACAGAAGAACCAAAGTCTCTTCAAAGTGATTAAAACCTCTGAAATGCAGAAACTACTGGAATGATCAGAAAAACAAAATTGAATGGGTGCATATTAAAATTAATTCCAACAACAAAGTCATATCTTTGAGATGTGAGTAAATTACTAATTGGGATTTTTACCTGAATGTTGCTTTGAGTCTTTAATAACGTGATTACAAGTCAAAATTATTCCTAGCTCCTTGTTTATAACAACGCCAGAACCCCATGTGCCACCAACTTTGACTAGTAAAGTCGTTGCCAACAATGAATTCTGCTTGCCTGAGGATATAAATGAAAATGTTGATACATGATATTTATATTTTAATAAATCAAAAGTTTTACTTTTACTCATCAGTTTTGATAAACAGGATTCGTTTGTTTTTAAGCTCTGATAAAATGTTAAAAGTAACAGTAAGATTTAATTTGGGATGACATAAAAAGACACTTTACAGAGACCATTAAACTTTAAAATATTTGTTTGAAGAAGAACTTTTGTGAAGTACAATATAAAAATACATGCCATTGTACTCAGTGAAGGATAAAAAAATTGACCTGAGTTTCTCCAATTCTAATAAAGAAATAAGATAGTACCTGTATTAAACCTTGATGTATATCTTAGTTGACTATCAATGTCACTTAAGTCCTGAACTGCTCTGCCAAACAAATTCATATTTTTTAGCTTAAGTATTGAATGGAAAATGCTGGCCAAACTGCAACATAAGGAAAAACCAACCCACTCTTTATTCTTCCAGCAAAGGGAAGCAACAACCACACCTGTCAAAAGCCTGAAAAACACAAGTATAAATTATTATTTATTGTACCTAAACAGCAGTACAAGGGGCCTTACGGAATTCAGTTATTTATTTTTTAAAAAGAAAATTCCTTTTCACAATCTTAATAAAACTTTATTGAGAAATAGTGCATTCAATTTTAGAAACTCTTAAGGAACTTACATGGCATTACAGATTTAAATATGATTTATGTTTTCAATGCCCTCACTCAATGGTCAGAGACACATGGCAGTTCCTGATCAACCATTTAAATGATTAAACAATATGGTAACAAGTTTCAAACGGACACATTAAAAAAAGCTCACTGCAATAATTCCATGTGCTCACCTAGTTTGATTTACTTTCTTTGTATACAGTGGTCCACCTTCTGAACCAGGGATACATCGTGCATCAGTCAGAATCCAACAGCCACCAGGACCATTCACATTACTTATTACACCACGACTAAAGGTGTTAAAAAACACAGATGGGTTTTGATTACCAAAAGGTGTTGCCATTATTTCAGCAACATCACCTATGCCACAAGGAAACTTTTTAATTGGTGGTGCATTTACATTTCTAAAAAAATTGAATGCATTACTTTCCTGAAGGATCAGTGGCACTGTTTGAAAAAAGATAAAATAGCTAAGCAAATTGAAGTAAACTTTGCTGTTTTCAGTAGAGCTTTCTTGGTTTGAAGAACTCTGACTATCAATTGTTACGTCACCAGGTTGACCAGCATCAAATGTCCAATTACTGTTTGGCATCATACTGCTTACTGCTTTATGAAAGTCTATGTTCTTAAATGCACCCATAAATTTGCAGTGAAGTGTAGTAAAGCATGCAGATGTTACAGTGTCAAAATTGCTTGCAGACTGATATGCTTTTTGAGATGTGTTATTAACATCTAATGGTTGTTGATTTGTAGAATGTTGTGGTTTCCACTGTTTATCGATTAATACTTCAAATACTGTTTCTTTAAGGGCTTTCTTCTTAATAAATTTACCATCAATAATATTTGATTTAAGAGTATGATTTGTTGTAACGAGTTCTGCTAAAAGAGTCCCATGAGAAATAATAATTCCTAGCTTGGGATTGAGTATCACTGCGCTTCCTGAAGGCCGCTCTTTCAAAAATTTAGATTTAACATTTATGACACACCCCATCATGGGGTAAATTTCCTCGGTGTAAGCCATGTGCTGAAAAATTGAAATGAAAGATATTAATATTTTTCTTTGAAATAAAATGTTAATAATAGTAAAACAATAATTAATTATTGCATAATATGGACATTATTATAGACAGTGAATCATCCACCCATCATATGCCACAAATTAAATGTAGATAATTCAAAAAGTTTCTCAGCAGTTCATTGGTCTGGCTTAAAGCAGTCCCTATAAATAATTTTAAGTTAGGGATTACTTATAGCACTTCATATACACTTATTAAGAATGGTCTAACATTGCTATTACTGATGCTTAATTTGATCTATCTGTTGATCAGTTTTGCAGCAAAGCCATGGATGAAAATGAATGAATGAATGTTTATTTTTTAATTTATAAAAGTGTATGAAGTGCATCCGTTTCATATTGGATTATTTTACTTTCTTATAAGAATGATCTATTAACTGGTGTAAAATTCATTAATGTATCATCATAACAATTTTCCTGGAGGTAGAATTTATACCTGTAACAGCATCCCACTCACACCATGCTTCTCCAAAAATATAGTTGCTATATCCCCCCTTGCATCTCTGTCACAGTAAGCTTTTGTAATTTTGAGTATGTATGATATATATTTATAGTCTAGTCATGAAACAAAAGTCATTGGTTTAATCTGAATTTTTGGCACTTAGTTAAACATGTTACCGCAAAAATTGGTGTAAGTCTTTTTATTTATCACTCCCTTTACACTATACTGTACTGAATATTTTAAAGGGGAACATTTTATCATAAATGTGCCGGGTATGCATGTGTATTTGTAGGTAGACCATAATTTTTAGGGTTTAAACCAAGACTATAGGAGTATCTTTTGGGGAGGCGAATAGGGCGACTGCTCTAGACAGCACCTTTATTAAAACCCATTTAGTTACAGTGGGGTTGTAAATCTACAATTTAGTAGACATCCTTTGAGCTGAATTTAGTCAAGGAACGCTATATATATTATTTCTTTCTTTGGTAGAAAGAGAGTAGTCACCGGTCAGGAGGAATATTTTGCCCAGGCCACATATTCAAAGAGGCATACAATTAATTATGGTGCCAACTTATTATTAATAAATAAATTAATGTTGCGTAATACAAGATTAGAAATTGACAGTCTTTACACCAAGAATTTTAGACTTATTTACAGTAAATAGGGAATTCAAATATTTGGGTGGGCAGTGCTAGTGGCATAAGAAAGGGGTTGGAGGGGGCAGATCCTCCAGTCAGTGCCCCTTCTTTTTAATTTTTATGAAGTAAGAGCATATTCAGCTAACTGCAGAGTTTTTATTGTGGAGGGGGTGGTGGCAAAAATCAGTGCATCTATCAACGCCAAATTTGGCATAATTACTAGGGCCAGCTGTAACTACATCCCCTCGCTTAACACAAAATAAATTCATTCTTTTTTGGGACACCCTTTAGGGCTTTGGCTCCCAACCGTTTTCTCCCCCTCCCATACCCTTGATTAGACTTGTATTGAAATATAGCTTCTCTTCAAGGGAGTGAATTTAAAAATAAAAAAACAACTTTTTTTGCAGTTTTCCACAATTATCAATATAATTTTTGCATGTTCCCAAGAGGTTCCCAGGGACATTTTTGAGCAGAATTTAATTTTGCAACATTCCACAATTAATTGGAGAGTAACCGACCTTTTTGTATTATACAAATATTATCTTTTAAGTTGTTACTAAATAGTAATGGTGTTTTTTAAATTTGTATTAAAACTATTTTGTTCAACTACTTCATTGATAAACCAGTTAAAAAATAAATAAATCTCCATACAAAAAGCGAGTATAAAAATTACGTTCCAGAACATTTTCAAATCTTACCAATTGCAGAAAGAGAAAAAGTACTGGTTTAAAGAAAAGTTATATATTCAATTTTTATATATTTTATATGAATGTCAAAAAAATTATACTAATAACTTTTATATTTTTAAACCATGATGAATTGCCAAATTAGCATCTGACCTCCCCCACTTGATCTCATTTTTTGCAGAGACAGAAATTGAAAACATATTGCCTGTATTTCATACTTAACAAGAAATCAAAATATTTTAATATAGGCCTTTATAATTTATAGTGATGGAAAGGTAATTTCAGTTTGTATTGTTCTGAGTAAAGATCACACTTTTTTGCACAATGTAAGTTTAAACTGTGGGTGCAGCTTACAGTTGGGATATTGCAAAAAATAATAAAATATATAGGTTAACTGTGAACCACATCAAATATATAAGGGGCAAAAATTTTGATTAATCCCACTTTTAACTAATTTTTACTCGTGAAAGGAACCATTTACTGTTTACTGTCCAAAATCATAAAAAATGACAATTTCATTTTTTTTTAAATTATAATTTTGCTTCATTTGGTCACTTGACTTGCTCCGGGGAGGGGCACTCCAAACATTTGGATTTTAATCCCCAATTTAAATTTGTATTTTATTTTCATATTATCCTGTCCTGCATCAACTTTGTTACCTGCTGGAGAAATTCAAAACCCAGTCCCGGGGAGGGATTGGGGGGGGGGGGGGGGGGGGGGGGGGGGTGTGTGTGTTGTGTGGTGCTTCTTCCCTCCCCCCCCAGACATTCTCTGGTCTATGATAATGGGTTTAAAAACAATTAGATCACACAGTCCTACACTTGATTTGCCATGATTCCAAAACGTAAAAACGGCCCTCTGCAATATAGCGCCTGACTAATTCTCTTCAGCAATTGTGGTTGTTATTTAAACATGTTTAATATTAATTGTAATTACATGCAGCCTGCAACTGCAAACAGTTTATGTGCTATCAAAGTGGCCTACAAAGCCTTTTGGGTTGGCCACCCCTGGTTTAATATAAAAAAAACTCTTAACTCTATTACACACAAGGTAATTGAAAGTAAAGTTAGTCTAAGGTTCTTATACATTATAATTTCACCTCTTCATCATTTATATTCATACTTTAAAATTAATAGAACATTCAGTTAGTTAGCAAAATGTTTAAAATAAATGACTGATCATCATTTATGATTAAGGGGCTTCATTTTGTGTACTTGTCTAAAGCACTCAACTTTCTAAGGCTGGCACTATATTTTTTCATTCACTCTTCTACCAGCTATGTTGCTTGTTCATGTATTTCTATTGCATAGTTAGAAAGATGGATTGAATACATTTCATTATACAACTAGCAACCCCTCAACCACCCTCCTCACTTTTCAAATTTTCCGGGCTCGAAGGAAAGCTGAATAAATTTTCCAGAGCAAAGCTCGGCCAAAAAAAGCCTGCTACCAATCCTTGATGCATATAGCTCTATATTGGTAATTTTAAGGTATACACATTACAACAGCATCTTAAAAAATTTATCAAAGACATGTTCTCCGGAACTTTATCTAGTACCGGTACTACTGGTGGTAGCAAACAGATTTAAAAAATATAAAGTAATAAATGTTATTGAAATCTTTTTAACATAAAATAGTTTTACTATTTAAGTAATATTATTTTAGTAAAATATTATAGAAAATTTATAATAAAATTTCATTCAGATACAAATCATAAAACAAGTAGTACAAGGACATTTGTATTAGCTTTCACAGCTGAATCCATAGTGATTGACAGAGGCCCTTAGTTGGAGGTCTAAACTATGGGGGCCCTTATTAAGCCCTTATGATTAGATCTATGGCTTTTTGTTTGGGGCCCTTTGTCTGGACTGTTTAGTGTTTGATGGGGCCTTATTTCAGGGCCGATATGAAATGGACATTTGTTTACCTTTAAGTGTTAATTAGCATATAATTAATAAAATAATGTAATAATATACGAAAACATTTTATTTAATAGTGGTGTTCAGTCATATATATTATTATTATATAGAGAATACAACCAGTTGTTTTGTGAACTTGAGAAAGTCCTAAAAGTTTAGCTCTAATCTAAATTCTAAAATGCTAATAAATTAATTGTTCAGTTTCACTTGTCTACTCTACACTACGTATTTAATATAATTTATGTATAATTTATTACAATTACACTGACACAAGTACATATAATTTAACTTCTTCATCATTATTTAGTATTTACTGATCAGACTAATATCAATAATTAAATTACTTTAATATTATAATTGTCATTATTTTTATTATCAATTATCTTCACTTCAATTGAAGTTCAATGAAAGTTAAATGATTCAATGTCAATTCAATGTTCAACTTCATTGAGTCTTCATTGAAAAGTGATTTTTTTTAAAAGACTCATTAAATGCCTCACTAAAGACTCTTTAACCTATTTTTGCCAAAAATAACATGCATAGGCGTAAGTAAAATAATAATGCCAATTGATTAGATTCTAATATTTAGAGGCTGAATACTGGTATTGCATCCTTATGAAAACGAATGATTCAATTAAAATAGATCTTAAAATGGAAATATGGAAATTAATGACTTCCGTGTGATCTACGTCACCATATTGAGGGTACCATGTTTACTTTTTTAAATTAACCAATATGAAAATGGGGTAAAATGGTAGTTTATTATTAGACATAAATATTAATACCGGTATTGAAAGTTAACTACCATGACCACTTTACAATCTTAAACCATAGAAAAGAAATCTATAAATTTGAGTGACAAGCAAAACAGAGGGTGTGTCTTTGCCTCTCTTGCATTCGACAACACATACTATTTTTAGCCATTGGGCCGTCTTTCGCTATCGCGGCGCCGTCACGCGTTGTGACGTCATGGCTTTCTGGGTACACTACACACACATCGGAGCAAATTGAATGTTTTAGACTACTGCTTTGTAACAATCTTTATTTTAAAAATATCATTACTTATATTAAAAGTAAACAACTATTGAAAATGGAACGTTATTCGATCGGTAGATTCTTCAAAATTCTACAAAATGTTAAATAGGTCAAAGGTCATCGTTTGACATTGGCCGTGATATGCATTATGAAAGCCCCACAGTACCTTGGAACGTTACATGACGGTGAGTGTTTTGTGAATAATATTTCGGTGATAAAATTTCTAGTCTCTGGTCGAGTCGTAGTCAAACCTATGTTTAGATGCACCTAAATTTACATTTCCCCTCCTATTAGCCTCATTAATTCCACATGTAATTACAGATTAATGAACTGTGGAATATGAATTTCCCGTCGCAACTACGCATAAGATTACAGAGACTCGCCAATTCATGGAAAAATCTAAGAAAAAGTGACGAGGGGGAGGCGAGGAACGATTATTATGTCGATAAGATAGACATCAAATAGAAACTTGTTACCGGTCACCATTATTAAAATAATACACCTCTAAAGATGATCGTTGCAGTTTATGTTGAATTTTTTTATATTCGACATAGTTAATGACACATATAGAGGGTATTACTATTACAATTTGTTAATTGACCTACCACAATCCACATAAAAAGGAAAGATTAAGAAAAGACTGACTCGCCTTATTCTTGATTCTTATTCGAAGAATGCTTGATGTTTGTGTAGGCTACGGTAGGCTTACTCACTGATGAGATGGGAGGAGCTAGGTCTGTTTACATTGAAATAAAACAATTGACATACAACTTAATTAAAGTCTACTACTACTTCTAGCTCTTTTATTTCTTAAGCATAAGTTTATGCTTGGCACC